TGTATAGGTTTTTGTGATGAGCTGAGGTTTCAGTAATATTTCTTTTAAGTACAAGACATGAAGCTTACAGTACATAGGAAACGTTCAGAGGACTCGGTTCATGAGATCAAAATATGGTGTCTAGTGTGTTCCCATAAAACCATTGACAAGGTACATATCTTTTTAAAACAGTAACATTTTAAAACATATTTTAAAAACCATAATAAAACACTCCAACCGAACACCAATATGCAGTTCCCCATAACTGCATCCATAAGGACTTACCCTAAGTACACAGCAAAGGAGCCACCCTAAGGGAATACCTTGGGGCCTATGAGCATACCAAGAGTCTCCATAGGTCCGTAAGGAATTACCACCTTGATCAAAGTTCAACCTCCATACTCCAGAATCCTACCCATTCAATATCCAATATAAATCAGATTTAATAGTAAACAGTAATATCATGATCGTGATCAAGTAAAATCTCATAAGAGTGGCTATGAAATAAACCACATAATTACCCTTCACCCGTACACCATATGCAGTCCCATGATTTACCCAAGAGAGTGCCTTGGGGCCTTAAAGCCTACCTAAGGTCACCTTAGGTCCCTAAGGAATTACCAGCTTGATCAGAGTTGAACCTCCATTCTATAACCTACCCAAACGATACCCCAATAATTAGTTCATACAATAAACAATAGATTCCATGATCCATAAATCATGAATGATTATATTTTTCATTGAAAACATGTAACAGAGAACACATACCATGTAGTCATAGTTCATAAGCCAGTAAATGAATAATTTTGAAAAATCACGTTTTAAAACAGGTAAAACATTTACATGTTATATAAGGAACACACTACATGATCCAGATATTCTTTGGAGGTACTTGGTATTTATCAGGTAGGGAACCATTAAACTTTTGTAATCTAATAGGATTTCAAAATCAAGATCCCTATAAAAATGGGTTTGATAGCTAACTAATTAATCATTCATTCATTCGGGAAGTGATTTATCAAGATCATACATTATTCAGATAATTTTTCGGATGTAATTGAGTAATCAAGAAGGCATTTAGAATTTTTTACATCAGAGTTATTGAAGATTTAGATATAACATGAGTGTTCTCATTATTTAGGCAATTATGAGTATTCCAAACATTTTAATTTCTGGTGGATTCTTAGTAACTTAATCCAATAAGGGTAAAATGGTAGTTTGCATTATTCTAAATTTATACCGAATTATCATGATTTCGAGTCAAATCGTACTAATCGATCTCCACCCTGTAAAAACTTGTCAATATTCTAGACTGATATTCTTCACGAATAATCACTACTTAATATTGATTACACTTATTGAACTGGTCATTTTCAGAATCACCACTGAACAGAACCAGAGGAGACAATCATGTATTTGATTGTATTATACATTTTTGGGATGTATTAGTATCAAGAATACTTAGCACACTTGAGTTATGCTCCATAACCTTTAGGAATGATACAACATAAGTTTGTTGGTGTTTCTCAAATTTATCCGAAGACATTCACTTATTTCAAGTGGTTAGGATATTTGGGTCACTTTCACACTTGAGGTTACTTCAGTCATCTTAGAGTTTAAGGTATTCTAATCTTTTTTGTGGTTTAGGGGTAATTAAGTCATTTGAATATCAGAGTTATTTTAATATTTCATAGCTCGATGACATTTCGGTAAATTCTTTTCAATCCAAACCTATGTACATTTTCTGGTAATTTGTCAGATATATCCGTTCAAAGTTATTAAGATTTCAAGTATAACAGGAGTGATTCTATTATTCAGGAAATCAAGGGCATTTTAGACATTTGGTTCTTGAAGAATTCTTAGTAATTTAATCTAATAAGAGTATAGTGATGATTTGTGGTATTCAAGATTATATATTGAATTATCAGGAGTTCGAGCCCAATTGAACTTCATATCCCAACACAACGGTTCTTGTTAATCATTCGGACCATGATACTTCTTTATTATTCACTTTATAACTCTGACTACACTAGCTGAACTGATCAATATCAGGATCATCGTTGAATGGATCTTAAGGAGACAAACATGTATTCCAATGGTATTTATTTCATCTCTGTGTTGCAACGGTATAACAAAATGTTGACGTAATGGATTCGTGGTTCAAAACCCTTGTGGCCGGTACAACATATAAGTTCATAATCGTTTTCAGACTTATCTAAGTCATTCACTTAATTATATGTCATTGAGGGTACTTAGGTCATTTAGTAGTCAAGTTTATCCCGATCACTTCAGAGTTTCCAAAGTAATTCAGTCGTTCTCACAATTCAGTTACATACAATACTTCCATTTAGTGTAACTTGGCCATATAATATAGTCATTTTACTCTTCAAGGGTATTTTTGGTAATTTTACACTTCAGGGGTAATTTCATAATTTTGTAATCAACAGGTAGTTTCGTCATTAAAGTTTTTAACGAGGATAAATAGAATTTAGAGATTCTGAGGTTATTTGTTTTTTCAGATAATCAATGAATTTGAAATAATTCTTATCAATCTTCTTGTGTCTATGCAGGTAGTCTGATCCTTATTCAGTTTAAATTTACTTTATTTCTCATTCTGATCGAGTTTAAAAAAATTTACTACACACATGAAACCATATTCAACCATGTATTTACCAATACCAAAATGTTCCATACAACATGTATAAGGTAGTAATATATTTCCTCGATTTATGAACCATATCGATCAATCATTTAAACTCCATTTGATCGTCCTCGAACTGGAATCAAACGTCCAATAATATCTCGACAGAAACGGGGAATAATTACAAAAAATGAATCGAATCAGAAGGTAAAATGTTGAAAATAGCTTACCATGTTTGAATTTGAGGAAACGAACTTCGAATTCATACTCAGGACGTTGAAAAACATAAAATATGACTTCAGAAAATTTGACTTTTTGGGTCAAAGTCAACGGTCATACCGGTCAACGATCAGACTGGTCAATGGTCAACAGTTAGATCTGTTTGGGTCAAGCAAACCCGATTTGAACCGGGTTAGGCCGGTTCAGTCCACCCGAACTAGTTCCAGAAGATTTCCTTGGCTGGAGAAAAGCCCACGCGTGTACGGCGACACGTGGCGGGTGTGACGGCGACGACAGACTTGGGGCGATCAGCCGATTACTCCAACATCACCTAAACAACAACACAATCAAGTTTTACCTATAATTTCATCCAAAAACATGCCAAAACCGAGAAAAATAATTAATCGAAATATCTCAGGCTTACCCACATCGACGATGAGAAAATCGGTGACGACAGAGTGATCCAAGGGTTGGGTTAGGAGCAGACGGCGATGGTGAGTCTAGTGGCAGCGGCAATAAGGCGAGGGGACGATCGTGGAGGCTGAATTTTGCAAATAACCGAGGCGACGGGCGGGAGGTTCGACGGAGCTTCTTCGACTCTTCCACGACGATTAGCGGCCGATTGGAGTCGACCGTTGGTTGGGTGCTTCGTGGTGGCCTGACGCTTCGATTGGAGACGGTCGACGATGCCTTAGACGACCGGAGAAGGGTGGTTTAACGGGGAAAAGTTGTTGGTTTAGGGAAAAGGGTTTAGGGTTCATAGGGGTTTATTTTTCACTAACCCAAAAAGGTTTAATTTAGGGTTAAGTCCCTAAACTTCCCATAGGTTCCAAAATTGAGCTGTAACTTTTAAAAATTTACAATTTGGTCCTTAACTTTCTTTTAATTAAATTTTGGGGTGTTACATATCAGATCCAGATTAATCGATTAATAAATCAAAAACTGGTGGTTATACCAAAAAAATATTTTTGTGTATTTTTAAAATTTAATTGATGGCAAATATACAAAAAATTATATTCTTATTATAAACTAAAATAAATTTTGTGTCATGGAATTTCTTATCAATTTTTTATATTTGCATAACTCACATGTTAAATTAATGTAATGAATTTTTTTAATAATTATAGTTTAATTTAATTTTTTAATAGCTATTTATTTATTTATATTTTTAAAAATTAGATACCAAATATATTTTTAATACTTTATTTTTGGATTCAAGTTTCATTTATATTAACCAAACATGTTTTCTGATTAAAAAAAATTGAAAATGGAAACTATTTTCTAAAAACAAAAATTGAAAATAAAAATATTTTTCTAGAACTAAACTAACCTTTTATGTTTTTATAATTTCACTTATTTTTGTTTTCACTTTCCATAAATCATTTTCAATTTTACAACCAAACATGTTTCTTCAACGTTTTCTATTTTTTAAGAAAATGAAAAATACTTATATTTTCTAAAACCAAACAGACGAATTGTGATGTACACTGTTGACTTAGTTTCATATGGCATTTTCAAGTTGACTGTCGCATTTGTAAAATTAACTACCACATAAATATATAAGCGATCAATGACATAAACCGTGAATCAAATAACTTAACCGATGAAATTTACTATATTAACGACTCAATTTAGTTAAAAAAAATAGGGTCTTAACTGATTTTTTTACTATAATTTGAGGGCTTAAACCATTTTTTATTGGAGTTTGTATTACATTATATGTAATTTAACATGAATATTAAAGTGTTTAAAGTTTGGCTTAATATCACTCTTTTCCCTGAACTTTAATTGATATTTTTGTTTGGTCTATGTACTAATTTTTCTTAGTTTGTCCATTCTTTGATTAGTTAGTTCTCAGAACTACAATTATAGAAACGTGTAAATTTTTTAAACATAAATTTTAAAATTTTTATATTTCTTATATATATATATATATTAGAAACGTGTAAATTTTTTAAACATAAATTTTAAAATTTATATATTTCTTATATATATATATATTATATTTGGAATTGAAACCAAGGTTCTTTTCAACAAATACTGGAATTTTTTTTATCAAGCATAAACACCAACAAGAATAAACATTGAAAACTGAAGCAGTAATAGCATTGGTTTTAAACCTACGAACTTATTAAGTGCACCAAACCATTTTATTCATTTCTGCGATATCATTCTGTCTATATCTGTTCCAGAATAACCTCGGCGCCAGAAACCTTGAACTCCGATGGGACACCCTCCACGTTAAAAGTTTTGACCTTTCCATCAACTACGCAGGCCGACCATCTGTTTTAAACCAACAAAGAAATATCAAAGAAATTATTAGTGTTTCTTTAGTATATGGAAATGATAACGAGTCAGCTTCGATTCGTTGTCTTGAAGAATATGTAAAGCAAAATATAGGTACAATCTAAAACAATGATCTATATGAAATTCTAATAACAAAACCATAGTTGTAGAAGTACCTCTGAGAGCGAGGCCCGAGCAAAGCAGCAAAGAGATCTTTTCCTAATTCCAGGCTCTTGTGGAAGCTTCCATCGAAGTCTCCGTAAAAATCTATATGTAAAGAGGATTAAGGTGTGAAATATGATGCTTACTGACACAATAATGCACTTCAACAGAGAAAAGGCAAGGGAAATGCTGAAATCTTAGCAACATAGCATCAAGTTCAGATTGTGTTAATCTCAGTGTAATGTACAAGATTACACTAACAATTTCACGAGAAATGTCGAATTACTTCCTATTGGGTTCCTTACTTGTTATTTTGCCTGCCAATGGCCTAAAACCATTGCTTTGTCACATGCTTTCTTTCAATTCTTGTTAGCAACAGAACAGAAGAAATATAACTTATTTCTATTCTTCAGTTCAAATTTTTTTATTTGATTTATGTATGCATGTATGTATGAATTACACAATTCTATGGCTCCATAATGTTAAAGATTTGACAAATTTTGCGATTTTAAAAACTGGTATCTTTCTAGAACACAGAGAGAATCACTACATCACCGCTGAAAGATATCTAATAATCAGTAGTACGATTCTTTTTTTGATAAATCCCAACAATAATATAGACTTGTCAACGATAAACTGAACATAATAGGGAAGAAATCCTACAATACATTGTTAACTTGTAAAGACTTACCATATCCTTAGCTTTCAGTTTGCTTGCCCAGACATTCATAACGTAAGGATCATTAACGACAACACAAATGACTGAGTTGATTCCTTTAGCCTTGAACTTATCAATGTTCTTCGTGTAACTAGGCACATGCTGTTGTGAACAAACACCTGTGTGTGCTCCCTATACACAATCCCAAATACAGTATAAATCCAAGTTTTCATTGAATTCTCATTCCAGACAATAACGTCAGAAATAGCAAACTAAACAGATCCACACTCCACTTTCCTTTTTCATTTTTTGTTTGATTTGGGAAACCGAGTTTGAACTTTGCTCTTTAAAACACGAAAATCATGCAACTTATATAATCCAGACTTTTGACCCTAATTTGATGGTATGCCTCTAATCTAATGTTCTTGTTGCACTGAAAACTTGAATCGTTCTTTTTTATCTTACAGTTATGTGAGCTGTTTACAGAGGAAAATTTTCTTTCATGGGTCCAATAATAGGTTTGGTATCTACTGTGATAGATTTTTGGTAACGATTTTGTAGTGCCTTTGACAAGATAGTTAAAAGTTTACGGTTAATCTTTATTGAAATTTGAAGCTGCAATATGGTTTGTATGACTTGCTCGGAAAGTAAAAGTTTTTGGAGGCAAAGTGACGTGTATGGAGGGTCGAATCTATATCTTATAGATTTGTGTTAAAAGCATTCTATGAGAATATAAACACTTGGTAGAACTCTTGGTGGGTGAAGCATGTTTAATTAGGAATGGAAGAACGATCCGAACCCGACGGGGAAACTCGAAACCCGGCTAAGTTCGGGTCGGGTCGGGTATCGGGGTAAAATTCGGGGATTTTTTTGGGTTCGGGTTCGGGGCAAGGTATCCCCGCCCCACCCCGTCCCGATTATATATATATATAATATTTTATATATTTTATATTAATTATATATAATAAAAACAAAACATTTAACTTAGGAATCCTCGCCCCACCCCACCCCGATTTTGGATGACTTTATTTGACTTAATATTACGTATGCATATTCGTTGTATGATTTGAATATCGGAACAAGTTTGTATTTAATTATGTATGTGTTTTATTTTGGAGTTTAGACAATTATTTAAAGTTGGGTTTGAATTTGTGACTGTAGTTTAAATTGTAAATCATGTAGACTAATTTTCCAGTCTTTTGTGATCGTTTTTTCTATTTTTTTATGAAAACTACGGTTGCTCGGTTTTTCTCGGGATCGGGTACAACATTTCAGGTCGGATTTGGGGACGGGACAAAAAAATCTCTGACGGGGCGCCCCGATAAAAAACTCGACGAGGATGGGGATTCATTTCGGGGACGGGGACGGGGGGAGCGAAACCCGCCCCGAACCCGCCCTGTTGCCATTCCTAAGTTTAATAATGGTACACCAGGCTGTGGGGAGTCTTTGGCGATGTCGATTGCAGCGTTGAAGTTGGAGTGGTGTTGTGGTTATTGAGATTGATTCAAATATCAAGATGTGTATGTTAATATGAGTTTTTGCAATCGATGGTAATCTAATGCTTTGAGATCGTGTTGTGATGACGGTGTGTACACTGATGAATCGAACTATATTTTTCAAGGATAGCCAACGTTCTTGTTGATTCATTAGGAGTTTGGCATGTATCTTTGTGTGATAGTATTTGGAGGCCAAATGACTCTTGTTTTAAGCAATCTTATATAGTTATTTCTGTATATAGTCAAAATTTTCTAGGTAGTGTTTTAGTTATGCTAGCCGTTTGTTTTGTTTAAGAGTTTGAACTTAGTGTGATGCTTTTCTCATGCACTGCCATTTTAGCTTTATTATGTCATTGTTTGGCTTCATTATAATATTATTGCTTTGCGGGAAAAAAATGTAATCCAAACTTTTGATTATCATACTCGAGTAGGACACCTACATCAGACATATTTGGACATGAATATGGGATCATAATCATCCAAACATATGTAAAAGCTTGAAAGAAAAATTATCCCGGAATAACATACTTCATATCCGACACTCCATATGAATTCCGGGCAACACAGAATGTGCTAACCACTAACCAAATGTAAGGGTTCATCTAAGGATGAAAACACGATTTAATGCCTAGGGAGCGATCTTATAAGATTTTTTATGGTGAAAACAAATTATCAATGAAAAATACAAAGAAAATATCTAAAATATATAATAATTTAAAATTTTCAAGAGGACAACTACCCCTACCCGCTCAGACCTTCGATCTATCCCTGGGTTCATCCACATTCTTCTTTAGATACTAATAATCTGCTTTTTTATATTAAAATATAGGGTAAATTACACGGGAGACCACTAAACTATGGTCATAAATCAATTTTGCCACCAAATTATTTTTTGTCTCAATTTAACCACCAAACTTTTTAATTGATTCAATCAGACCACTCTCCGTTAAAAAAAACGGAAGTGCTGACGCATCCGTTAATAAAAAAACGGAAGTGTTGTCGTGTCCGTTAATAAAACTGGCATAATTATATATTTGGTCCTTAATATTTACATATTCTATCAATTTAGTCATTATTTTAATTCAATTAAATAAATTTAACTATCTAATTAGAACATGACACGTGTCAATACATGATTGGAAGATTTTATTTATGAATTTTAAATTATTTAAATAATAATTTTTTAACCAATCTGATGGTGACACGTGTCACCACCAGATTGAAATTGAAAATTGAAGAACAAAGATGCAATTAGGGAGGATCAAACCTGCATCCAAGGGGAGAGAAGAGTAATAAGGCGCCCAAACCTCTGGGCCAAAGCTCCCCAATGGCTCTAACTTACAACAACTTACATTTGACTTGTACGATCAAACAAATTATATGGTTAAATAAATTTCAGTTCTATTAATGGTTACATGAAAAAAATTTCGGTTAATTCGATTCGTTTAATAATTTTCAAATAAATTTTGGTTCGATTAACGGTTAAGGAAAAAATAATTTATTTTATTCGGTTAATAATTTTCAAATAAATTTCGATTCGATTAACGATCAAATAATTTTTGTTCGATTAATGGTTAAAGAAAAAAAAGCGGTTGATTTGGTTCGGTTAATAATTTTCAAATAAATTTCGGTTCGATTAATGGTTAAAGAAAAAAATTAGGTTAATATTTTTCAAATAAATTTTGATTCGATTAACGGTCAAATAATTTCGGTTCGATTAATGTTAAAGAAAAAAATCGGTTAATTTGGTTCGGTTAATAATTTTCAAATAAATTTTGGTTCGATTAACGGTCAAATAATTTTGGGTCGATTAATGTTAAAGAAAAAAATTCGGTTAATTTGGTTCGATTAATAATTTTCAAATAAAATATTTTTTTTTAATCGCTAATCGAACCGAATTTTTTTTCTGTAACCATTAATCGAACTGAAATTTATTTAACCATATAATTTGTTTAATTGTACAAGTCAAATCTAAATTGTTGTAAATTAGAACAATTGGAGAGCTTTGGCGCAGTTGTTTGGGCGCCTTGTTACTCTTCTCTCCCTTTGGACGTAGGTTTGATCCTCCCCAATTGCATCTTTGTTCTTTAATTTTCAATTTCAATCTCCTGATTGGTTAAAAATCATTATTTAAATAATTTAAAATTCATAAATAAAGCATTCCAATCATGTATTGACATGTGTCATGTTCTAATTGGATAGTTAAATTTATTTAATTGAATTAAAATAGTGACTAAATTGATAGAATATGTAAATATTAAGGACCAAATATATAATTATGCCAGTTTTATTAACGGACACGTCAACACTTCTGTTTTTTTAAGAGTGGTCTGATTGAATCAATTAAAAAGTTTGGTGTCGAATTGAGACAAAAAATAGTTCGATGGCAAAATTGATTAATGACCATAGCTTGGTGGTCTCCCGTGTAGTTTACCCTAAAATATATAGTAAAATTTTCCTTTCAAAATTTTCATTCTGTAGACAAACTAAATAATTCACTGCTATTTTCAACATTTTAGGAAATAATAATCATAGAGAGAAATCCTTCCGAATTTATTAACATACATTTTTAATCTTTGAATTTTCAAATACAATCTCATAAAATCAAATTTCATTTCTCACTCTCCACATAAGTAGAAAATCAAACTGTCAAAAAAAAAAACAACATGCTTTAAAAGTTGACGGTCGTTTGAACTAAATGTTAACCTACTAGTTGGGAATATAATAAAAGAGTGAAATGTGATGCTGACAGACACAATAATGTACTTCAACATAGAAAAGGCAAGGGAAAAATGCAAAAATCTTAGCTGCATAGCATAAAGTTCAAATTGTGAACTTCAAGGCCCTTAAGGTGAATATTCTATGGCAAGTGATGAATGGATTCTTGACTTTACTAACAATTTTAAGTTAAGTAACAATTAGAACTTGTTTGCACTGTACAAATTTGTGTATGTAGGTATAGTTTTATGTGGAATATAAAGCCTCTTGTAAAGTCACAAATATTGTTATAATAAAAATATATATATTAAATGGGATTGTTAAAACCTATGTTGCACGGGTATGGCAACCCAATGTCGTTTAAAGTACCTAATACGTTCCCGAGATGGGTACGTGACGTGTACGTCTTGGTTACATATCTGGGACGTCCCATGTTGAAGGGTACGACTAGAATTAGTTGGGTACGTTGGAGGGATTTAAGGGGATGACGCTTAATGTTCATACACGTACTCTGGGTTATTTTCGAGATTTAAATTAAAAAACGATAAAGATAATTTTGAATAAGAAATTGAAGTTGATTTTGAATATAAAAGATCACATAATTATCTTTAAAGAAATTGACAGTCATTTGAGATACACATTAACCCGGTGGTTTGAATATAATAAAAGAATGAAATGTGATGCTTACGGACACAATAATGTACTTCGTTAGAGAAAAGATAAGGGGAAAATGCTGAAATCTTAGCTACATAACATCAAGTTCAAATTGTGAACTTCAATGCCCTTAAGGTAAATACTCTATGGCAAGTGATGAATGGATTTTTGACTTTATTAACAATTTTCAATTAAGTAACAATTCGAACTTGTTTTCAATGTACAAATTTGTGCATGCATGTATATGTTTATGTGGAATATAAAGCCTCTTGTAAAGTCACAAATATTGTTATAATAAAAAAAATTAGATGGGATTGTTAAAACCTATGTTGCACGGGTATGGCAACCCAATGTCGTTTAAAGTACCTAATACGTCCCCGATATGGGTACGGGACGTGTACATCTTGGGTACATATCTGGGACGTCCCATGTTGAAAGGGTACGACTAGAATTAGTTGGGTACGTCGGAGGGATTTACGGGGACGACGCTTAATGTT